ACAACCCCTGGGGGGTTCAGCAGGAGCACCCTCTTGCAGTGGAGTGTCACAAGTGGTTTAGCCTTTAACGAGAGCCAAAGTAAATCAGCAACATCCGTATGACCTGGCCTGGATGGAGACTTCCTGAGTTCCTGTCCAGCCCATACTTGTCTGAGAGGACGTACACTGTAAATAGTCCAGGAGGGTGAAACTACTGTAGGAAGTGTTATTTTTATACAGGTTTGTGTCATTGTTGTTGATTTTGAAATTCCTAGCTTGAATATAACATTTCTCTCTGGAGATCTGAGTCCTTAGGGTTTGGACTGCGTTGCAACAATGGTCTCTGATCATGGTCCAATATTCTCTTTCAGATTATTGTTTTATGGAATTGTGATAAACCCCTCCCGGCCAAACACCGCTGGCCTGCCACTTCTGTGCCTGTCATAGTCATTGAAGGAGAGAGCAAGGTAGGTGGAGAGAAACATTATAAAAGATTGCATATATTCTCCAATGGGACCAAAATTTATTTTTCCCGCTGCTTTGGTGAAAGCTTTGTAGTTCCCAATGGTGTGACAGCTCCTTTCTGTTCCTCGGCCCTTTACACCAGCTTGGTCACAGATCCATGTTTCATGCATGAGACCCCATGTTCTGAGAAATCGTCAGCATGGCAATTAGTGCCATGAATCTGAGATTCACAGGTGGGACCTAGTTTTGAAATGTGGCCCAGAGAGAAGGTAGTGCTGACCCCATCCTTGGAGGTTTCTGTCTCTCTGCAGGTGCATGAAAGTAGTGATGCAGCTGGATTAATTGAGTCTGAGCAGTCTGATGCAAGACTTGGGGGCCAACTGTGGACTCAAAAGTGGAGGAAAAGATGACAATGAATGGTGTTAACGCGCCTTTGAAAAGTACCTTCTCTCATGGCCTTGTAGGGTCCTGCTGCCAGTGATGGGATCCCACTACCCAAAAAAAAAGGAAGGGACGAGGGACACTTGTGTGGGAACAAAGCCATTGTGTCATCTCTTACTGTGCAGCACGCTGGTTTGTTTGCACTTCCACAAATTCAACACAGACACCGCCCAGATGAGAAAATAGGCTTCTTTTAAAATCCACACTGAAGTGGATGATTCCTTTCCAAATGCAGGCCTGGGAGAAGCAAGACTTCTTGCTTCTGGACTCCGACTGAGGCCGATTTGGGCCAGTCCCCTCTGCCATCTCTGGCAGCTGGCTCTTCAGCTCTGCATTTGTGAAGGGAACTTTTAGTTTCTTTGGCTGTACAATCATATTTTGAATTTATAGTCCCATCTTTGGTCTTTCCCCCTGGTCACCTTAACAAGAGGAGAGCGAGAGTCCTGCGAGGTTGGCAGCTAATGGCTCTTGCCTTAGCTAGCCATGCAAACAGCATCAGTAGAGTTGCTGCAGGGCCAAGAAAGGCTGTAGTGATTTCTGAGCCTTTTGAACGTTGTGGGTTTTTTCCTTTCTTTTTGGAAAACTTGCAGAGGTGAGGTAGAGGAGAAAAATCTCTGAGCAGTTCTACAGTGTTTGTAGAAATTGGCCCCAGGCACTGTTTAGATTACAAACGAGTCTCCTGAGTACACAAAGGTGTGTTTATAGTGGACAGTCTCTTCCTTGTAATGTCCCAACGTATGCCAAATGGCTTCTTGCGCAGAAAAGCTGTTTGTTTGGACAAAGCTTGCCGAGCCACAGCAGTGCAATTCAAAGGTTGCACAAAGGAACTCCTTTTCATCTTCAGACTTAACTGGAGCGGACTGGCAGGCACAGTTACTCTGTGCATGTGGTCACGGAGGTCTGCCGTTACCTAACCTTTACTCTTCCCCGTGAAATCAAGACATATTATCACACCCATTTTACAAAAGGGAGCTTTAACTAAAAAAAAACCAAAATACATGGGTAGTCCCGACTGTTTTACTATTTGACCATTTTACATGGTCTGTAAAAGAGCTGCGGTGAGAACGCTGGTCTCCTGCTGGCTGCTTGCTCTGCTTTGCCTTGCTTGAGCAAAGCAAAACCATCAGCCCCTGCCAGATCACCTCTTCCTCACAGCCACTGCCTTCCCCGACCGAGGCCATCGTAGCGATGGAGGGTACTCTCCAGACAGACACCATGAACCTCCTGATTATAGAGACAGAGCTTTCTCTGAGTCAAGGCATGGATTTAGGGACTTGCTTCCAAACTGGTTGCAGGGGATGCAGAACCAACCATGTCCATTATGAGGGATGTGTATTCTCCACATCCCTGTTTCCATACAGTGATTACCTCTTACTGGGCCTGTTTTTTGTAGTGTTTTCTTGGCATAATAAATTGGAAATGAAGTCTATTAACTAGCTAGGATATTTTTCCTAGCAAATGAGGGAAAAAAATAGTGTAGTGTCCTTGTTACTATTCATCAGTTCTCAAAGGGTGCTAATTAGTCTGCTAAAGAAACCATATGGATTCTCATTTCTTGATGGTATCTTTTTGATCCCGCTTTCCCATCGATTTCGTATTGCTTTGAGAACTGTCCTGCCATAGTTTTTAAAAGCTTATGCTGCATATAGGTATTATATATATGTGTGTGTAGTTATGTGAATTAAGAATGTGAATTAGCATTTTTAAAATACTACAGTACCGGTATAATTCTTGATGCAGGTGAAGCTCAACTGATACTCATGTTCTTTAGCATATTCTCTTTTTCTGATGGAGAATGTAGCACCATTTGGCAGCAGCTCCCTGTAGATATAGGAGCAATGCACAGAGCTGGATCTGTACCACTTTACAGGAGAACCATCCTGGTAGCATAAAGTCCTTCACACGCAGCCTGGACTCCTTGGTTTTCCCAGCTGCATAACCTTGTGAGTGCTGCGAAGTCCTTCTCAGTGCTTCATTATCATTATCCTCACACCCCGCAAGGAGGGCGGAGGGACAGTCCTAGCTACCAGGGAAAATGTCCTCCCTGAAGAAGGTACATCTAATTCTCCATAAGGACTGTTGCAGTTAAAGCAATCTGCTCCAAAGAGAGACGTCTGTTTGGAAGTGAACTCCTCGGGTAGAAGGTGTAGGCTGACTGCTGGGGTGACGAAAATGACAGTCTTTCACTCCTGAGCTGATGGGTCCTTTCTGTTAGACAGAGACGTGCAATGTGCCTCAGACAAGAGGAAATAGGAGTGAGGAAGAAAATAGAGTGTTTCCATTAGAAATGAGTCCTTCAAGTGATTTTTTTCCTGCCCTTCCTGCCTTGGAACCCACAGGTTATGAGCAGTCGCTTCCTGCCCTACGACAACATAGTGACGGATGCAGTGCTAAGCCTGGATGAGGACACCGTGCTTTCAACCACTGAGGTAAGGGTCTCTGTCGTCTGGGGAGTCTGCTTGGCTCCTCAGCTCGTCCTGAGCACAACAGATATACTCTTCTCTTGGCTTCACCAGCGAGCAAATGTTAGATTTCCTGCTATGCTTCTCAGATTCAACGCCTTGCACTTGTTTCAGCAACCCTGCCTCTGCCTGCCATCAGAGGAGCTTTTCGCCCTGGTTAATTGGCTCATCATTAGCATATGGTTCTTCCGTTCTTCATTATTTTAGTAACATAGCTGCAGGCGGGTGTAGGCAGCCAAGAGCAGTCAGCTTTAATACTCTGTTCTCACTTTTCTGATGGGGGTAGCTTTTTTCCCCCCACGTTATCAGTAGGGTGTAGGTGGGGAAGGAAGGGGTGTCAGCAGCAGGGGACTGCTGGCACTCCAGAAGACGGTGTTGCCACCCTAATGCAGGATTTCACTGGGGAATGCTCTCTCACCATGGCGTCGCCCCATAAAATTGGAGATCTTTGGTAGCTTAGGTGTTGGAGTGTTTGTGCCAAGAGCAAGATAGCGCTAAGAAAAGAAAAATACTGTAGAAAACCAATTTTTACAACTGGGATGAGTATTGATTTCTGGAACGTCTTCCTGAGAACCACAGGGGAAACTGATGACAGTTTATATAGAGTGCAATATTTGGGAAATACATTATTAATGACGGCCAGGGAGTAGCTTGAAAAACTCGATTTTCCTTTGTTTTCCCTTTTTTTTCCCCATATTCGTAGCCATTCCCTTCTCCCCACTTCACCTTTATAAAAATGCTTTTTTGTCAGTGATGTGGACCTTTCACTGATGCTATCACTGGTTATATGTCAGTGAAAAGATGCCTAACATTAGTCACTAGTCACTGCTGTATACCCTAAGATGTCACTGAATTTGTTCTAAATGGATGAGATTGCAACCTCTCTTCTCCCCAGTATGGATTTGTTGGTCTGTGTTGTTTGTTTGTTGGTCAGACTGCTCCAGAAGGAGCCATGGAAGCCCTCTTCTGCTGCGCAGATGGGAGAAGTAGTTGGCATTGAACCCATTTGATACTGTGGTTGCGCCTCAGTAGTTTCTGCTAGATGAGGAAGAATACAGCGGCTGCCACAGTACTTGTGTGCAAAGCCCTGCACAACCAAAAAAACCCCAAACCAAAACCAATAAAAGGCATTTATCCTAGGGCTGGAGCTCCTAAGCAGGTTGTTGCTCAGGATGAAGGGTCCTGTCTCAGTTGCCCTGAGGGCCGTGGTAAGACCTCTCCAGGACTTTGTTGCACTGAGGTGGTATTTACAGCAATCCAGACTGTGGATTCCGTGAGGATTTGCGGCTTTGGTTTGTTTTGCCTGGTATTTAGTCATCATCCAAACTTTGGAGTCAGTCAGGCTTCTGGAACACATATGAAGTAGTGTTTCTCATTCAGCTTGGCGGTGTTTTACCCTAAACATCCTGAAACACAAATATTTGTTGTTGTCTGAGACAACATACGCATTTCTTTGTGGCTTCTTCCCTCCTGTGAGCAGCTTGCAGCCAATACTGGATGTTTGCACGGTGGGTATTCGCTCCCTGAGCCCCTTGGCCCCTGCGCTGCAGAGAGGACCAGCTGGCCAGCTCTTGCTAGCACCCACCTTGCAGCTTCAGCGTGCCTCTGCCAGGGTGATGGGGTCAGCAGTAATCTTTGGTGGCTCCTCTGAAGAACTGGGGCCTTTACAGTGCTTTGGTTCCCCCCCAGTCACGTGGCTTACGCAAATGAACAGTGCGTTCAAACACTGGTGTGAAATGCGTGCTGTGAAACTGGCTGCTCGTAGGTGGTCTCTGTGGCACCGCTTCAGGGCCCCGAGAAGGCAATTTAGAAACGTGGTCCAACACAATCCCATCCCTGCTGGGAGGAGCAGTCGCCGGGGGCATTATCCCCTCCGTCCGGCTCTAGCGTAGTAACGGTTTTCCGTTCACAACAGGAAGGCGCGTCACTGCTCGTGTGAGAGGAGCCGTGTCACATACGCAGAGGGGCATTTGTGTGGGAAACAGATAGAAATCAGCATGGGTCAGAAGTGGTTTGGGGGTTGAAGAGACCAGCAGCCTGCCTGGCTTTTGCTGCTGATCAGCTGAGTGGCAATGCTGCTGAAAATAATACAGGATGAGGACTGGGGATTTCTTTAATAAAGGCAGTTTTCTCTTAGAGTGGTTACTTCACTGCATCTCCGTGGTACAGGGACAGATACTTGAAAGCACAAGTGAGGGCACCAAGTGCAGCTGCTTTATTATTTATTTAAGTGTGAGATTCTCAGACTTCTCTAAAGAAAACAGATGTCGCATTTTATAGCAAAGGCCTTTACAGGGAAAAAAAACCCCTTCAGTTCTTTCATGTGGTATTGATTTGGATGAGATCAGAACTATCGCAACGGTAACTGGTTTGTGCACATTGTCTTTCTAGTTGGCCTCAGATTCCTTGAAACAACTTGAAAGAAAATAACCAGTCCCTAACTCTGTGCTCCAGTACATGTGCGACTCTTCTGTTTCATAAAAACACTTGTAAATGAGAGAAGCCTGACAGCAATCACACAAAGTGTGGCTGTTCTCAGAACAGCTATTCTTTATCTAACCTCTGCACCCTTGACTTTGGCTGGGTTCTTGGAAGGATTTTCAAGCATTTTTGAGCAAAGTTTTAGGTCCCTCTGGTACTGGAGGGAACTTGGTGTGCAGTGCAGAAATAAATCCCTCATTTTCTTGGGTTTGACTGGGACAATTAGAATTATCTTTAACTCTTTTTAAAATTTTGGTCTAGCTTGAGCTCCAGACCTAAAAGTGGAGAGACTGCCAACCAACTTTACAGTGATAAAAATCTTTCCATGTGTAGTTTTTTTACCAAACTCCTTTCAAATCTAATGCAAACTCCCCCAATCATCTCTTTCCTTGTGTCATCAGGATTTGTTTGGTGGGATCCTGGGGTAGTAATGTCCTGTCACCTTTTCAATTCTCAGTGATACGAGTTATTAAAATAGTACCAGCAAGACAATAAAATAAAAAAACACTATTGGCAGCATTTGACATCTTTTTGTGGCTCATACAGTATAAAGCGTTCTCTTAAAGTATAGGGTCCTAAAGCCATTTAACTACATGGGAATCTTATCTTCTATTAAGCTGTATGTTTAACCCTCCTGAGCATGTAACCAGTCTTAAAAGTATGACCTGCATGTACCTCAAAGGCTCAAAACGTGTGGAAACTGTGAAAGGACTCTGCGTTGATTGCATGTTTTAATCTCACTGAGCCACCCTTATAATTTAAAGTGTTCGACTCCTGATTTTCCAGGCTTTGTGTTGACAGCACTGAAGTGGTAGGTGAGATGCACAAAGATGTGCAAAAGGTTCGGTTTACCACATAGCTACTACCGCTCTATACTGCACCTAAGTATAAATACACGCACCTACACCTGTTCTTTCTGTTACTTGAAAAGGTTTGATATGTAAAGGGCAAGCTTGAAAATGTTAATGTGATGCTGTGATGCTCTAAACTCCCTTTAAGAGGAACCATTAAAATGTGCATAATTATAGGGCAAAATGTCAAGCAGTCAGTTTAATTCACTGATGAATACGTAGAATTAATGTTTTGCAACAGTTCCAAGATTTTGAATTATGAATTAGTGGCAAGGTAATATTTTGTTTTGTTGACATTTGTTGAAACAATTTCAGTATTCATTTGGCCTATGCCTTTTGTCCGCAGGTGGATTTTGCCTTTACAGTTTGGCAGAGTTTTCCAGAGAGGATTGTAGGGTACCCTGCTCGCAGTCATTTCTGGGACAACACTAAGGAGAGGTGGGGGTATACCTCCAAATGGACTAATGACTATTCCATGGTATTGACAGGAGCTGCTATTTACCACAAGTAAGAACCCAAAGCATCTGCTGTCCTGCTTCTGCATGAAACAAAATAGTAAGGGGGGTGAAGAACATTGTTCCGGGGAGGGGGGAAAAATGGAAAGATAATAAATGGGTCTACTTTTAATGGGGTAATAATTTAAGTTCTTGGTTTAGCTCTGGGGATCTGGTAATCATTATTGCGCTTGCTGGGTCTCTTTGAAGTCACTTGTATTTTGAGGCAGTCGGACTGCTCTTTTTAACATCAGGAATTACACACTTCAAAGAGTTCCCGAATTCATTAAGCTGCTCGGCTGAATGGCCCGTAGCACAGCAGAAAGGAGGTTGCTTCCAGACCAGCTCTGGGTATGTGTTGGCTGACAGCTGCAGACTGCAAAGTCTTCTGGCTACTCTAGAACTGTAGTACAGTGGACACGTCACAGATCAGCATATTGCGGAATATTGGAGAAAACCCCTGTTGTTAGGACTTCAGCAGATCAAAGGCCTCTCTAGATTTTAGGAGGAAGTTAGCAGGTTCTGGAGTAAGTAATCTACATCCCCGCAAAGGAGAAGAAAGGCCAGAGGGGATGATGCTGGCCCAATGAGAATAATTTCAACAGTAAGGACAGTAGTAGGCCAGTTTAATAGTTTTCGCGACTGAACAGCTTTGAAAGAAGAGGTGGAGGATGAATTCATGGACGTTGTCTGTCACATTATAGCAGTGTGGTGCTCTCGCTCCTACTCCTCCATTACCTTGATACTTAGGTCTGCATCATTTCTTTCAAACCAGTTACAAAAAGGCATACATTTTGTTTCTCCATTAGTGCCATTTACAGTCTTGAGGAGATACTGATTTGTTCTCCCTTCTTGTTGGGGGATGAGACTGAAGAAAGGAAGTGGTATATCCAGGGTTGAGTACGAAACTTATGTCTCATCTCAGATGATAGAAATCTCCTGGAGTTTGTAATCCCTGAAAGCCTGGTGACTTGTGTTAATAACCCTGCTGTTGGTTTCCAGATATTATCACTACCTGTACACTCATTACCTGCCTGCCAGCCTAAAGAATATGGTGGACCAACTGGCCAATTGTGAGGACATTCTAATGAATTTTTTGGTGTCAGCCGTGACAAAATTGCCTCCAGTCAAAGTAACACAGAAAAAACAGTATAAGGAGACCATGATGGGACAGGTATGTAGCCACAGCATGTTTTAGCAGTTGGGATGTATTGATAATATGACAGTTTGACTTCTAGGTTAGATTGACAGAGTGATAGAATTCTGTCTGTTTTGTTGCAGTTTTTAGGTTAGCAGAACTATAAGTAGACTTTAGATATGCTTATTATAATGAAGGAAAATCCAAAAGGAGAAATGGCAAACGTCTACTGTAGATGACAGCATCTCTTCATAGTTTCCTGACACGGTGTTATTCGTGGTGATCCCAAACTCATGGAACTGATGATTGTGGTGACCAAATTTCAGTTAAACTCCAGTTTTCTAAATAAATATTCTAGACGTAAGACCTAGCCATGGAGTGCTAGAAGCAGGAGTAAATTCTAGAAAGGTTTCTATAATTAAGTAGTATTAATGGATAGAATGTACCAGGCCGTCCCTGTGCGGTTTTAAAGTACATAGTGTGATTCAAGCACTGACAACAGACTGTCACAACAGAGGTAATTTGTGATATTCAAGCATTTTTTTCCCGCAAGGAACATTTTGTCCCAGCATCACTCACTCATTTCGTTTCAGCCATGAAATGCTTGCTTTAGAGCCTCTTCCAGCTACTGGATGAGTGCTCTGTCATTGCAGAAATGGATACAACTTCTAGTAACAGGGATACGTGGTGACCTGGGAACACATGTCCTCCTGTGCTGTGTGGGCGAGAGATGGGAGGAATAGCAAGTCCTTCAAGGCCTGCAAGTCTTAAACAACCTCCTGTCTTTTTTTTCCCCTCACATTTTCATCTATCGGTATTACTTGGATCTTTGACTGGGGAGTGGCTGAGCCAGTTTGTAGACTTGCTTATCAGTATGCCAATGCATTTTCATCTCAAGAATAGGCAGTAATTCAGCAATTCTGACTCATCTGGGGACCCAGGAGACCTTCTATGAACAAGAAGGTGCCATCCAGAAAGTATCTATTGCTTCCAGTTAGAGCTTCACATCTCCACAGGGCCGTGCTTTGGCTGTTTGGCAAAGCCTGAACGTTCATTTTTCTTCTTATAGCGCAGGTGACTTGAGTCAGCCACGAGCTATAACTCTCTCGTAGAGACAAGTTGTTCCTGCAGCTTTGGGAAATGTAATGGACCATGTTCATAATTCCTTGAAAGACAAATAAAAAATTAGCATAACCTCAGTGTTGTGACAGAGATTAATAGTCGTATGGAAATTCACTGTTAATGGCCAGAATGTCTGCTATAATCCTCCAGCAACAAGCTGTTGCTTGCACTTTAGTGGCTCGGTATAACCAAGAGTCTGTAATCAGTTCACGTTATAACCTACCGCTTGAGCTAAAGTGGACAGGCCTTGGACAAAGATCAAGTCTGATACCCCATTCACTTGGCAAAGTCCCTGACTTCATCAGTTTCCTTGCATTTTAGTTTGCTTTTATGATTTTATTTTAGTTTTTAAAGTATAGTGGAAACAGAAGTGCTATAGAGAGATGCATGAGAAGTGGCACAAAACAAAACTTTGTTTCTCAGCATTCATAGTTTATCTTAAATAATAGTTTTATTACGTTTGTACATGTAGTTTAGGTACAGATGGAGAATAATCACTGCTTCAGAGCTGTTAGGGCCTTATTTTTCTAGAGGTGCCGAGTTTCAATGGACTTTCATAGGAATTACAGCAGCCCTGAGCTTTGGCAAATCACGCCACAGTACTGCATGTACGCAACATGCGTGGTCTTTTTCTCAGGTCAGAGTTTAACGCGATGTACCTTGGAACTCTGGTCTATTTTCTTTGTCCGTGAGACAGTACTGTGTTATACACCGGCCTTGGCCGGTGGGATTCCTGGAAGCACCCTGCCTTTCCCTGCAGGACATCTACGCGCAGCAGTAATGCCAAGCACATAAGCACTTTTGCTGAGCTGGTTGAAATTACTCTTGTATAAATCTCTGCAGATCTGGACTGCAAAAGTGCGTTTTTGACCTGAGAAACCGTAACAACTGTGGCGTGTTTTCCTCCTACGGCTGAAGGCCGTGGGCAGCAGCTGCCACAGCGTGTTCACCTCCGGTGGGAAGCGGGGGGCCTCCTGTCTTTCCTGGTGGGTTT